GGACAAGTGGGACTTTAGGTAGCTGCTTGCGAACCCACAGAGGGAGGCAAGCCCTCCTGTGCACATCCTGCCGGGCACCCTGTAAGCATCACGCATCACTGGCAGGCAGCACCCTTTGCTGTGGCAGTACCCACACTTCCAGATGTCCATCCTTTGCACCTGCTATTGTCCTCACCACTGGCCACAGGAAGTGTTGTGCACTGAAATAAATTAGAGAAAACAGTAGGAGCTCCGTGGAAGAGCACTTGTTTAACGTTCGTGATGGCCTGGGTTGAGCCTCCACACCTCAGTTCACAATCCAAATTCCAGACTCATCTTATGAACCATGGTATCAGTGACCTCACTGGACAGCACATCTAGGACTCCATTGCCACAGAAGATTCTAGAGGATCTTTGAAGCTCGAGCTTTATTTTTATGTGTGTGTATGTACACACACGTGAGTGTGTGTAACATGCATTATGGGCTTCGTTCAGTCAGTTCTCTCCTTCCACTTTTCTGTAGGTTTAGGGAGTAAATTCAGGTCACATGACTTACATGCTGGAACTAAAGGAGCAAGACACTGTGCCTCTCAGATTCCATTGCTGTTTCTTGTGTTTAGTACCCCCACTTCACAGGGGCACTTACTGCAGTTTCAAACCAGAGCCTCAGGGACAGGGTCTGATGTGAGCTGATCAATATTGGAATATTCATGGTTTCAGGTTTTGAATAGAGTTGGTACCCAGGGCCTCAGGCATGCTAGGTAAGGCCACACCCCAACCCAGTAGTGATGGGTTTTCTATTTTTGTTTTGAGCCAGGACCCCTCTACATAATATAGGCTGGCCTCAAACTTGATCCCCTCGCATCAGCCTCCTAGGTGTTGTGATTACTAGCAATTTTTTATCACACCTGGATCCAAACTTTGTGTGTGTGTGTGTGTGTGTGTGTGTGTGTGTGAGAGAGAGAGAGAGAGAGAGAGAGAGAGAGAGAGAGAGAGAGAGAGAGTGTGTGTGTGTTTGTGAGAGTGTGTGTGTGTGTGTGTGTGTGTGTGTGTGTGTGAGAGAGAGAGAGAGAGAGAGAGAGAGAGAGAGAGAGAGAGAGAGAGAGAGAGAGAGAGTTTTGAGATAGGGTCTTGCTCTGGGCTCGGACTGTGAAGTCCTAAGTAATCTCAAATTCCCAACAATCCTCTTGTCTTGGTCTCCTAAGGGCAAAGATAGCAAGAATAAACCACCAATCTGGCTTTCAGTAGAGTGTGTGTGTGTGTGTGTGTGTGTGTGTGTGTGTGTGTGTGAGAGAGAGAGAGAGAGAGAGAGAGAGAGAGAGAGAGAGTTTGTTTGTTTGTTTTTCAGACAGGGTGTCTTACTGTAACCCTAGTTGTCCTGGAACTCACTATGTAGACCAGGCTGGCCTCCAGCTGACAGAGATCCACCTACTGGGATTGAAGCCATGCACCACCATGGCTGGTTCTAGGAGTGTTTTAAATGCTGGACAAATTTCACATGAAATTCTGCCTGGATTTCTGGTTTCTTTTGAAAAGTGGGCAACTCCAACTGCCTGGTGCCTTCACTCCAACTTAGCAGGCTGGACTCTACCTAAGCAGATCACAAACCTTCCCATCCAGCCCTGCCTCCTCGTGATTCTGAACATGCAGTAAAGAGGTGTACAGGCTCTTAACCTTAAACTTCCCGCATTGGAGATCCATGAGTCGTCAGGTCAAGGTCACCCATCCTGTGTGTGCACCAGTGTGGGCTTGGGACACGGATGGAATGAAGCAGTATCTAGTGTGTGTGTTCTGTAGTTGGCACTACCTGGTCCTGTATACACAAGTCTGTGACAAGGAGCTCCAAGATGCTCTCGTTAAAACGCCAGGGACCCTCATTTTGTTGTGAAGGTACTGTCAGGTATACCCAAGCAAGGGAATAGGTCTGGAGAAGAGTCCTCCACTCCCCCTTGGGCAGGAAACCAGAGTAGAGCCTTTGATGGAGGGCGTTGCCAAGCAGCCAGCCCCAGGGGTCCACCCTGTGTGTACTCAGTGTTCACTGCCAGGAGGGCCCTATATACGGGAACGCAGCGCCCCCTGCTGGCTTCCTAGGGAAGCAATGCCCACCGCAGGGAGCTTCAGGCTCTTTCCCCGGTCTAATGCCCTGAAGGCCCAGGATCCTGCTGGGTGGGTGGGCTCTGGCCCCCTCCCCCAGGCTGGCCCCCGGTAGGAACTGAAGCCATGTGGTTCCCTGCCCCCAGCCTTTCAGCCCGAGGGACAGGACGTTGGCTGGGATGTACAGACGTGAATTTCTGCTTTTAATCCAAAGAGACAGAAAGAAAACTCAGCAAGAACTCAAGCTGGGCCACCCCCACCCTACTCCGCCATCCCCTGTGGGTACAAAAGCCCCAGCCTGGCATCCTCCCCACCTTCCAGGTCCCACACAAAACCTAAACAATTGCAAACATGGCCAGATCCCAGGTCTTGGCCAGTGCCAGCCATGGGGGTCCCACCCGCTGGGCACAGTGCCCACGGGAAGGCCAGCTGGACTCTTGCACCGGGGAATGGGTCTGGGGGGGATTCCCTCAGAGGGTGGGGAGAATAAGCTGGCTTCTTCCATGGGGGTCAGCTGCCCAGCACCCTGGCTCCTCCTCCTGAGCTCACTGTAGACGGTGGGGGTCATAGGGCCAGGGGCGGGTGAGATGGGAGCTGGGACCTTTCCGGCTGTTCTCATTGTCGCTTCTTTCTTTCTTTCTTTCTTTCTTTCTTTCTTTCTTTCTTTCTTTCTTTCTTTTTTTTTCCTGGTCCCGTTTCAGTCCTGGTTCCTCTGATTAAGATCAACAAAGAAACAACAAAAATTTTTAAAAAGAGGTTCCTCAAAAGGGGGGAGAAGAGATTTTGAGACATGGAAATATCCCCCAGCCCAGCCCCACCGAAAAGCAAAACTTAGACGTCGTCAGCCACTCAGCCCTTCCCTCCTCCAGCCCGGGTAGCCCTGCGGTCCAAAGCAGCCCAGTCCTGGGAGCCCTCGGAAGGGGTCTCAGCCGAGTTGTACACCAGCAGCCAAGCAGAAAGAAGCATGCTAAGCGGACTCTGCTAAGCAGAGGACAAACAGAAAGAAAAGATGCAACCAGCCCGGCCTTCCCGGGAAGGAGCAGCCAGCTCGCTGGTCTGCCACCTCTGTGGTTCCTGGGGACCCCCACCCTCTGCTGGACCTAAGCTTCCCTCGGAGCCCAGAGGAACAGCTCATAAAGATGATGGAAGTAGACATTCGAGCTCACCTCCGGACTTCGCCCCCCCCTCCCTCTCGCCCTTCCTGGGAGCCTCTGCTCAGGCTTCTGTCCCCTGCTGCTCTGGACTAGGATGGCCCCGGGGTGGGCAGGGGATGTTCCTTGGAGGTAGCTAAGCTAAATTCAGCATTGAGTCCAGAATGGAGGGTGTTCTGCCACCTCCCCCACCCCGAACCGCAGGGCAGTTCTCGGGCCGGACCCCCTCTGTACAGCACACAGGAAAAAGTCAGAATGCTCTGGACTGGACGCTCAGCCCGGCACAGGCACCCTCTTCCATCCCCGCAGGCCGCGAGGGCTGCCCTCTGCCACGCCCCTAGTGAAGGGAGTCGGCCCCAGGTCGCCCCGCACCCCAGCCCTGCATGCAGGTGCCCTCGCTCCGCCCCTCTGCCCTGCCCCTGCCCTTGCCGCACACAGCCCTCCAGGGGCCGGCTGAGAGTGGAGCAGAAAGGGCCCCGGAGCCGAGCGAGGAGGACAAGGCTGCCTCCACCTGCACTAGGTAGGCGTCCTGCTCTCGAGACTCTCAGTTCCTGTGGAGGGTGGGGGGGGTGTCATCCTTTTAAAAGAGTGTTCTGGAGCTTTCTGGTCCCCTTCCCTTACCGCCACATCCCGTGGCCACTTCTCCGTAGATTTTAGCTGTAATGTCTTTCCTCTTTATTTAGGGGTGGGGCAGTCATTGTTTGGGTCTTTCGCTGTTGCAGTTGGGAACTCCTCTGAGCAACTTGGGAACAATTTCATAACACACCACAGGAAGCAGCTCTCCTCCCAGCCCCCTCCTCCTGCAAGGGATGGTGGAGGCTTGTCCAGAGGGTCCTGAGAAGCCCCCTGGGAGGGGAGGGGAACGCGAGCACGCCAGCCCCCCTCCAAGGTGACTGGACCCCTCTGGCTTGTCTTTCTGTGCCTTAGTCCTCCTTCCCTGCATCTCCCCTCCCAGGCCCATTCTCAAGGCCTTGCGCCTCTCCGGTATGAAAACACAAAGCACAGGTCAGGACCCTCCGAAAGTTGGTCCAACATTGCACCACGTGGGGGTGGGTTGTGGGCTTTATTTATTGAGAATCTAGTTGGTGAGGCTGCGGCCCTGAGCGGGCGAATGGCCGCGTGCAGGGAGCTCGGGATTGAGAGGCAGCTGTCCGGGCGGGCGCGCTGCGTGGAAGTTGAGTGAAGCCCTCCCCTGTGGCGTCCAGGGCCCGGGGTGGAGATCCCGCGAGGGGCCTCCCTGTGCGAGGGGAGGGAGCCCCAGGATGGGGGGCCGGGCGGGCCGGGCGTGACGCGCGGTCAAAGTGCAATGATTTTTTTCAGTTCGGTTGGCGAAACAGGGTCAGAGCTAAGAGCTAGCGAAAGAGGGTCCCTGCCCGGCCGCGTGCGCCTCTTCGGTTGGTCGAAGACAGTCGGGCTGCGGGCGGGTGCTGTGGGTTTGCGGGGCACACGCCCCGGGCGAGGTCAGAAGCTGCAGGCCAGCTGGGCCGGGGCCCAAGGTGCCCGGCGAGGTACCCCCGGGAGGACCAGGGTGGGGTGGGAGTAGCGCTCCTTTCCCAAGTGGTGTTGTGAGGGGCAGGCGAGGGACGATGAGGACAACAGATGTGGGGACGTGTTAGGAGAGGAAACAACCCACAAAAAATATAGGGGAAATTAACCTTTTTTTTTTTCATTGAACCAAGTGCAATGCATCAGAGAGTTTTCCTATCTTTGTATGTTAAGAGATTAAGAAAAAAATTCTATTTTTGTTGTAATGTCCTCGCGGCTCTGGGGACGCTAAAAGAACTGGGCCTGCCCTGCCCTTAGCGGGGATGAAAGCTGAGTGTTTTTTTTTCTTTCTTTCTTTTTTCTTTTCCTTTTTTTGATAGTTCTCTGGGTTTTTTGTTTGTTTGTTTGATTGGTTGGTTTTTTGCCGTTTTCCTGCGTTGACGAGGATAATCTGGGGTTTTAATTTGTTTCGTCGTTCGGTTTCGGTGGGAGGGCTGAAGAAAACGTTCACATTTTATATTTTACAAAAACACCTCGACATTTAAAAAAAACCAACACAAGATCAAAAGGAAAAGGACGAGAGAAAATTATTTTTAAGATAATTAAACATAAAAAACCCTGGTGCTTATTACATTATAAAGTACGTTTTTAAAAAACCCACAAACTATTATACATACGTTTATGAATCAATTAAATATTCTGCACTTGTTAGGAACACGCATATCCCTTCTTTGTTGAGTTTAACGGAACGGGACAGCGGCGTGCGCCCCGCGGCTGGGCTGCTCTGGCCGCGGGTCTCCCTGGGCGCCCCCTTCCCCTTTCTCGCCCCCTCCCCCTCCGGGCACTGGGGCGCGGCGGGGGTCCCCGGCCCCCTCCCCCGCAGAGGTCAATGCCAACGAACAAACGTCCCTTTTCCCTTCCTTCTCACTCCGAGCGCCCTTCTTTGAGCCAGACGCCAACTTGACCCTCACCAGCATTAATCAGGAGCGCGCTCAGCAAGTTGGTAGTTTCCTCCCCAACCCCTTCCCACGTAACACCGCTCTTCCCCTCCCTCCGGGAGGTTCGATGCTCCAGGACAGGTCCAGCCACGCTGACAGGTCGATTTGCCCAGGCCCGCGCACGCACGCACGCACGCACACAGCCCGGCACACATCCCCACCCTATCCCGCAACCAGCCCTGTCGACTGCCTTACACACCCGCCCCCGCGCTGGCCGGCCGACCTAGTGCCTTGTTCTCACCCCCGTGCTGGCGGAGCGGACGCCGCGCTCTGGGTCCCAGAGGGGCCGGGTGGCTCAGACGACCCACCGTTTCCCCACCCCGACCGTGCTGAACGGACCCCCCCACGAGAGAAAAATAAAGGAGCAATAAAGTTATGAGAACTTTTGTCCCCCAATCGAGAGCCCTAGGGGCACCCCAGCCCCACCTCTGCTCCCCCAACCCCATCCACCCTGGGGCGCCCCCCCCCGCAAGCCAGCCGGGGCCAGCCCCCGCTTTGGCCCCTCTTGGGAGATCCGTGCGCCCCACCAGCACCAGCATCGCGGACCGCAAAGGCCGCCCGTCCCGTCAAACAAGTTTCTTCTTAGGCTAAGAAACGCAGTATATACGAGTATCTCTATATATAGTACTAATGGATTTGGTGTGCTTCCCCCTTAGCGTCCCCTTCCCTCTGCTCCTCTTTCAGCCTGGTCTCCCTTCTCTGCCCCCCCCCCCCCGTCTCTGCACTGAGATACATAAGAAACAAGGGTAGTTTACTGTCTGTTTTGTTTTCTGGGTTTTCAGTGTCCTAGCGGAATGCAAGTAGGCAGCCAGCCCGTCTGTCCCCTCTCCGCCCGCCCCGCCCCACCCCCGTCACTGCGCTTCTGTTATACCATCTTTGCCTGACTCTCTCCGGCTTCTCCATTGAATGGCTAATGTGTATGTGAAATAAAGAAATAAAGAAAAACAAATGCAAGAGTGCCTGAGTCTTCGATAACGCGGTTAACAGGATCATGGATCAAGCGCAACCAGTTGGGCTCGGTGGGGTGGGCCCTCCATACACCGTCCAGGGGCTTCCCGCCTCCAGCAGGGGGCGCCGATGCGAAGGCTTCCAGACCCTTCCCTACCTCTCTCAGTACCCCTAAGGACCCCATAGTCACTTTGCTTTGTTGGTTCTCTGGCCTCGACCCAGGGAAGAGGACACTAGCAAGGCCACCTCAGGTAGTCTGTGGGAAATTTTTCTGAAAAGTCTGCGGAGCCCCCGAGTCACCGGTCACCCTTCCAGGACTACAGGGCGTTTCCTCATCTGGGCGACCTCAGTCCCTTTTACAGGGAGTTCACAGCGCAGCAGGCGAGGCGCCACTGCCTTGGGTCACCGCACCTCAGGACTAAGGGCTGTCTGCTCCATCTTGATGGGTCGCACCGACCCATTGGGGTTGCCGTCGCAGTCCCCAGGAAGCACGGGCTGCGAGCACGCAGCCTCCACCCTGTGTCGGGCCCCGCAGCGCGCACCGCTCTCTACTCCCCGGTGCGCAGGTGGCTTGCGGGGCTCGGGAGCGCTGGGGCCCGAGGCGAGCACAGCCGCCTGGTCTCGCAGCAGCCGCACCAGGAAGCCGATATACTTCATGGCCAGACGCAGCACCTCGTTCTTGCTCAGCTTCCGGTCGGGCGGGTGGGTGGGCAGCAGCTTCCTGAGCTCCGCGAAGGCGCCGTTAACATGCTGTTGCCGCCAGCGCTCTCGGCTGTTGGTGAACACGCGACGAGCCACCTTCTGGGGTTGGTGCCCTGAGGACCGGAAGAATAGCTTCAGCGTACAGGCCAGAGGGCACCCACTGCTGTCCTCACTAAACACCACCAGCACCCGCTTGGGCTTGGAGCGAGTGTGGGCTGTGTAGACGCCAGGGCTGCTGAGCCTGATCATGCCTTGATGTCCACCCTGTGGCCTCATTCCGAGCGAGCATGTCCTCGGGTTTTCAGAGGTTCTCTTCTTGCCTGCTGTGGGCCTGTGGGTGACTGGTGGCCTATCTGATGGCTGTGGTTGTGTGGGTTCGTGGCATGTGGTTGTGACTGTTGTTTGTGTGGCTGGGGTTCTGAGGTTGATTGTGGTCTCATAGTTCTGTGTGATCCTAGTCCAAGGTTGTCTCTTTCATGACTGTGTTTTCGGGTTGGGGAGCGTCAACCTGTGGGTGCTATGTCCTGTTGTGGCCATGACTCTAGCTGTAACACTTGGCTTGTTGGGACTCAACTATGTAGCCCAGGCTGGCCTCTGAACGGATTACAGGGATAAGCCACCAAGCTAGGTTGGGTACGGTGGTGTTGCATTGGCTGTCACTTGTGTGAGTTATCCTGTGTTGGTCCACAAAACACCTCTCCCTGTGGTAGAGTACAGGTCAATCAGACGTGGGCTGCAAGTACCCACAAGTACACAAACATAGACACACTCACCCTCAGCCAAGTCCAGCTCTCCGTGGCTTGGTCTTCGCTTCAGCCGGCTGTGAGGGAAGATGCTGAAGGGTCCTGCTGGCCCAATGTAGACGCTGTAAGGTGTTGTGTGTCATGAACGCCTTGTAGGCAAAACCCCTGCCCACCGACCCTCAGCGCTGCCCACAGTCCCAGCTCCCCACTGACCTGTTGAGGAAGGGGTGGGGGTGGTAATGCAGGGCCAGGGTGGGTGGAGCTGCTCCCAAGGCAGCTAACTGCAGCAAGGAGGGCCGAAGAGCACTCAGCTCTGTGGTGGGCATGGCTGCCCCTGTGGGCCTGGTATGACCCAGGTTTATCACTGGCACACCTGGAGGCAACCAGGGGGGGCATGCCGGGTTTCGGTGGTCCACCTCCGCCGGAAGGGGCCCAGGTGAGGCGGGCTTAGGGGGAGGTGCAGGCGCAGGGCTGGAGGCGTGCACCATCTCAACTTTCTCAGTCATGGCGGAACCCACCTCTGCCTGGGCCTGGGGTGGGCACATGGACCCCAAGGATGGAATGCTAACCTGTGGAAGAGAGTAGAGTTACTGGGACAGACGGCCCCGCCAGAGACCATGTTTCTCCCACGTGTTTCACCTAAGTGAGCGCTTCAATATGAAAGCACCTTGAGAGAGAGAGACTGTGAGTTCAGTAGTCAAAGGCAGATGAATGGGTCCAGAAACTACTGCAAGACATGAAGGGGGAACCTTCTCCACAAGAGGGGGTGTCTACTAGGTGCTAGACAGCATTAACCCTGCTTAGAGTTGTTTGTAAAGGGCTTCTTGCCTCTAAGCCAGTTTCTCTCCTTCCAGCAGCCGGGGCACAGTAGGGATCCCCTAACTTAACTCCTGAAACCTATACCACCTTTCCATGGTTGTTGCTGAAGCCTCCACCCTTGCTCAAGGTTCCTCTCACCATCCCTAGCCTCATCAGCATCCAGATATTTTTGCACCCTACATAAAGTGTGTGCTGGGCACACTCCAGGGTCTGGAGTGTCCTGCTAGTGCGTGACTCCCCACCTCTCCGCCCTATCTTCCGCAGCTGGAGAGATTCCCCTGGTTCCTCAGTGGGTCCCAGGGGATGAATGAATAAATGAACGAATGAGCGCAGAGTGCAGGCGCAAACTCTCCCTCCGAACTTTCAAAGCGTCCTTCTTACCCTGTAGCAGTTGTCGCAGTCTGGAGTGCTGTGTGGTCAGGGCTGTCAATCCAGGCCAGGAGGCGGTTTCCACTGTCCAGTCCGGTCAGTGTGCCCCAGGTGGTCCCGTTGGGCCTCAGAGCTGGGCTGCGCCACCTCCCGGGCTCCGGAGGGCCTGAGCGAGTCTCGGAGGCGGCGGCGGCGTAGTGGGTAACCTCAAGAGAAAGTGAGCGGCTCCTGGACCGACCCGCCTTTTCCCCACCCCCGACAGCCTGGCTTCCTCCCTCTTACCCCCTGGCGCAGAGGCCAGAGGATGCTGGGCCCGTGCAGATAAGGGTCTGACTGCCTGGCCGCGCCTGATAAGGAGCTGCACTGACCCCGGAGGAAACCAGCAGGCAGGGATCACGGGAGCGCGCACCCTTTGGCCCACGGTGGCCAGTACTGGCAGTCCCCCCCCCAGGGCTTGCTGCTTGCTCCCCTAGGCAATGGAAGACCCTAGCCCTCAGGAGACCCTGGAACCGAACTCTTCATGCAAAGAGGAAATGAGGCAAGGCTGCCTCTGGTGTCCTCTGCGGTTATTCTGGCTTTGAACCCCACCCCCTGCCTAGTGCCTGTGCTGAGGGGGGTGGAAGGGGCCCCTTTCCGGTCCTCTGAGGCCCCATGACCCAAGGGCCCCAGCCTCCAGCCTAGTTCCTCTTTTTTACACATCCCCTGCGGACTTCCCTACCCCCCACACACCCAGGAATAGGGCTCCAGGAGATAGTTCTGGCGATGTGGTCCTTCGGTGTCCTGAACCCTGTGGCATTTCCAAGGTTATTTCCCAAGTTCAGGGGGGTGGAATCCAGAGTGTCAAGAGTTGTTTCCCAGAGCTGCTCCAAGGCCCCCTAAGATGCCAGGCAGGGGGCTGGAGTGATGGCTCAGTGGTTAAGAGCACTGACTGCTCTTCCAGAGCAACTGGGTTCAAGTCCTAGCACCCACATGCCAGCTCACAACTGTTTGTAACTCCAAGATCATCCTCACATGGACATACATGGCAAAACACCAATGCAAAAAAAAAAAAAAAAAAAAAAAAAAAAAGAGATGCCAGGCAGGCCACACAATGGGGTGCTGTCCCTTGCTGGCAGGTATTCTGGAGTGATATTTTGAATTCTGGAACCCTGGGGGCTGGAGAGCTGGCTCAGTGGTTGAGAGCACTTGCTGGTCCTGCAGAGGACTCAGGTTCTGTTACTAAGAGCCACATGTTGCTCACAATCGTCATTCCTAGCTCCCTCCAGTTCTAGGGGATCTGACACCCTCTTAACTCTGAGGGTACCAGAGAAGCACATGGTGCACATACATCCATGCATGCAGGGAAAAATTATATACATAAAAGTACATAAATCTTAACAACAACAAAGTCCTGGAAACCCCACAGAAAGCTCCCAAGACCAGGAATGTTGGCTCATGCCTTTAGTTCCAGCATTTGGGAGGCAGAGGCCAGCCTGGTCTACGGAGAGTTCCAGGACAGCCAGAGCTACACTGAGAAACCCTGTCTCTTGAGTTAAAAAAAAAAAAAAAAAAAAAAAAAGGCTTCCAAGAGGAGCTGAGCTCTATGTAGTATAACAGGCCTGCCCCATGTATTTGGTGAACTGCCTCCCTTCGTAGCGGCTGAAGTGTGCTTATGCCCCTGCTCTCCTCTCAGCATTACTAACCCTCTGCTCCAGAGGAAGGGGACAGAGCCTCTTCACTGGGCGTCTGGGCAGCCGCCTGCTCTGCTTGTGTTCTCAGCAGTCACATCCCTATTGAGAGCAGGCAGGGCAGGAAGCACCTGGTCTGGAGCGGATGCACAGAGTGCCTGCTTCCGGTCTGGCTTCCGCCACCACACCAACTGGAGAGAGCAAGGCCCAAGACACCAGGCAATAAGAGACTTCAGGGGGACTAGTGGGGTGCTGGGGGAAATGCCTGGAGGATTGTCAGAGGGGAGGCAGCACAGGGTGACAGGCGGGTGACAGGCGAGCATGCTTGCAGCTGCCGCCCTGTGGCCACCTGATGAACTGCTCTCCTGAACAGCCAGATCAATTTCCAGGTCAGACTTCAAGCTGCCGTCAGGCAGGAATAAGGACCCAGACAGGAAGAGTCCCTCAGGCAGACAACCTCCCCATTCAAAATGACAACCAGCAGAAAGTGACATCTCTTTATTGTCTCAGTCTACACCTGGCCCACCAGTGCCCCCAGCAGCAGCCTCTGGTCCAGGGGAGATCTTGGAGGTGGTCTCTGCACAGTCTGTGAGGAGAGTATCAGCAGAGACCACAGGCGCTGCAGCGCTGTGTGAGTAGCAGCACTGGTCCCCTCGCTGACAGGTGCCCTGTGGGGGGGGAAAGGGAGAGTGTGGAGCTCCAGGCTTCCTTCCTCAGCTCCCAGCCGCAGCTGTGCCAGCCAGCCTGCCCCCCCCCTACACCCCCCCCACCCACCCCCCGCTTTGTGGCAGGGAGGGTGGAAGAAGGGAATCACCTCCTTGAATCGTTTGCAAGGAAATGTCTTGAGGCGGGCTGCCCTCTGGGCTGGGCCCTCAGCTGGCTCCTTCCGCTTATTTTGTAGCAGCCTCCGTTTCTCCTCTGGATCTTTACTTGCTGCCCTGCCCCCATGCAGAGACAGAGGCTGGTACCCTACTTTTCCTTCGCTCAACCCACCCTAGCCAAGCCCCATCTCTGCAACATTGCACTCACCCTGGCCGGGCACGGGGCCGGGGGCCCCAGTTGGCTTCTGGATTGGCCTGGAAGCGCTTGAGTCCTTGCTGGCGGGAGCTGGGGTTGGCATCTTCCCGGATGTTGAAGTTGGCCTTTAGCCTGGACAAATGGGTGGGGGCTGGAGGCAGCAGCCATGCAGGGTGAACACAGCCTCAGAACCTGCCCACCCATGAGGCAGCACCACAGGTCTACCAGGCTCAGAGTTCTCCCATTGTCTAACAACACCTGGATTTCCTAGGGAATTTCTGACAAAGTGGCCTGGATCTGACCCAATGGAGCTTGGCTTTGCAGCATCAGAAACAGACAATCGACAAGACAAGATAAATCAGAAGTAACTCGGGCCAGAGGTGTGAACCCAGGTAGAGACTTGCCCAGCATGCACAAGGCTCCAGGTTCCATCCCCAGCACCACAAAGAAATAATAATCCCGTGTCAGGACATGCTACTCTGTCACTGTTGTGGTAGAAGACCTAAGTCAGGATGCAGTGCCGGATAGGGTGGTCCAGTCCAGAAGGCTTCTCTGAAGTGAGAGACAAGGGCCCAGGCAAAGGGCCCAGGCAGGACAGACTTTGTGCAGGGTTCAGGCCACTATGAGGAGAGAGCCATGGAAGGTTCCTCTGACCCAGACACTCACAGATACGTAAGGCTGAAGAATAGCTGATGCAGAGAAGAGTGGGAAGGGCAGAAGGTGGGACAGTGGCTCTGGATTCCCCTCGAAGTGTCTGTCTTCTGCGCACATGCACCTGCTATGCCCAGGGGGTAGCCTGTCCCCTCCTCCATGTTTGTCTGTACCTGGGCTCCACAGCCAGAATCCGGAATGCTGGGCTGCTTTCTGACAGCCGTTCCCGTTTTACTGGACACTCCTTCTCCTGGGGACAGAGGTGGAAGAGAGGCTAGGCCTGAGGTGCACCCAAGTCACCCTCCCCTCCATGTCCTCCTGCCTTGAATCGTGGGGTCACCTGCCCTCACCCAGCAACGCATGATGTCCCAGAGAGCTTGTGGGGGAGCGTCTGTCTTCACTGCATTCTTACAAGCGTGGGAGAGAGAGACTCGGAAGCCGGCGTGGAGGAGAGCTGACCTGGGTGCAGAGACCACAAGCAGAGGTTAGACCACAAGCAGAGGTTAGACCACAAGCAGGCCACGTGGAATGGCATGCTTGTTTCTTCCACAGCAAAGACATGTCACTGACTGTGATGTCAAAAGCACCTTTCGGGGGCTGGAGAGATGACTCAGTGGTTAAGAGCACTTGCTGATCTTGCAGAGGACTCTGGGTTTGGATCTCAGTGTCCACATCCCAGTGTACAATTCCCTGTAACTCTGAGCCTGGGGAATCTGACACCTCCTTCTGGCCTCCTTAGTCATGCACATGGTGTATTTGTACACGTGCAGGCAAAACACACATACATAAGAATTAAAGAACAAAGCATCCGCTGTAGGGCTCATGGCCTCTCAGCTCTGCCACAGGCACACACTAGACTCTGATGGTCCAAGCTGCCCCCAAAGGCCCTCACCGAAGCTGCAGGAGGCTGGGTGTGTTACAGTGGATGGTGCTGCTCAGGTGGTCCAGTGTGTAGTAGAGAGGGACGTCGGGAAGTTCCTGAGAGGTAAACATGGAGCATCAGGGCTGCTGGAAGGAAGGCGGGCACAGAAGGGTACCCTCCCTGTGTGGGGGTCCCTTCCCTATATCCATCCAGCTCACACCTCAGTAACAACACTCAGGACACCTTGGATCCGCTTGGAGGTGTGGAAGCGGCCAGGATTAGTGGTCACTGCTTCAAGAACTCGGCCAACAAAGTCCAGGTCATGAATGGGGTCTGCCCACATGGGGCCTCCAAGCTGTGAAAACATGGCGTACAGATGAGCAAGGGGCATGAATGCATGTGCGCTAGGACCCTGGTCCACTGCCTCTCTGACCTGGGCCCACCTGGTGTCGCTGTCCACAGTGTTCACACTCGGGAGTCACTGGAGGACCACAGGCTGCAGAGAACTTGACCCTGTAAAGAGAGGCAGTTTGAGGAGAGGCTGCTGGAAGAGGGAGACCTTAGACATCCTTCCAATCCAAAACACCCTTGTTCACCTGCCACCAGGGTCTCCTGATGCTTTGCCAAGACGCTGCAGGTAGAAGGCTCCACAACCCACACACTGGAACACCAGGGCCTGCTTGCTGGGGAAGCCCAGGAGAAGCCATGAGTTCCTGATGTGGTCACTACATCTCAACTCTTCCCTCAGACCAACTCAGTCCCTTTTCAGACACCAAGAAGGTCCCCTAGGGCAAGACTCGGCTCCTCCCTCAATTCATCAGGTTCCCTCTGCAGGGCTTACCTGGCTGAGGCCTTAACCTTGGCCTGGCCTGTGAAAACGCGCACGAAAACCCGGACATAGAAATCAGCGCTGATGCTGAGCAGTGGCACCACGAAGCGCTGGTAGCAGTTGGCATGCAGGTCCAGGCTATGCAGCACAATTCTCAGGGCCTGGTGGCAGGGGTGAGCATCAGCACTGGGAAGAACAAGCTTGGAAATGCACACATTTCCTGGCCGTGGGACACTGGACAACAGTGTTTTCTGTTCCTCCATTTCCGTGGCTGGTACTACATGGCTGCAGCCTACGCCAGTGATTTAACCCAAGCTGAGAGTACGTCTTCACTATAGACAATGGGAGTGTTATCAGGGGCAGCTTCCAGCCTCATGACATGAAAAAGGTGGTGGCGCTGTGCAGCTCACGAGACAGCAAGAGACCTTACGGAATCTTTGCCTCCCCGCACCGCTTTTCCTCCCCATAGCAACCACGCAGGGTAGGTGCCATGACCACAGCTGCTCTGCAGATGCAAAAGTAAGGCCCAGAAAGGTGAAGTCAGAGTGACCAACTAAGCCAGGATTAGAACTCAGACCTTGAAAAAAAATGTTTTCTTAGGATATTTTTTGTCCTAACATTTGGGAGGTGAATGGGAGGGTCTGGAGTTTAAGGTTAGCTTCAGCTACAATAGCAAGCTCAAGACCAGCTTAGGCTACACAAAAGCCTATCTCAAACCCTCAACATCATGATTTCTTGTGTTGGGGTGTGGCTCGGTGGCAGAGCACCTTGCATGCACAAGGTCCATTCCCAGGCAGAACATTAAAACCCAGTTTCGGGGTTGGAGAGATGGCTCACTGGTTAAGCGCACTGGCTGCTCTTCCAGAGGTCCCAGCAACCACATAGTGGCTCACAACCATCTATAGTGGGTTCTGATGCCCTCTTCTGGCATAAAGTTGTCTATGCAGATAGAGCACTCACACACATAAAATAAATAAATCTTAAAAAAAGAAAACCCAGCTTCACTCTGAGTGCTACACCTAAAATTCAGCACATGAGACATAGCTGCAGAAGGAGCCCTGCTTGGGATACTTAGTATGCTCAGTGTGCAAAGGCACCTGCCATGAAGACGGACTGATACACGACCCGAATGATGGAAGCAAAGAATGGACTCTAGGAAGCTGTCCTGACTTCCATGTTTACCATGGCACACATGCCCCCTCCACACAAAATACGTGTGTTGTGTAATTATACACACACACACACACATATATGCTACATAAAACTTTTTTTTTTTTTTTGAGAAAGGGTTTCACGGTATAGCCTTGGCTGCCCTGGAACTCTCTATTTAAACCAGGCTGGTCTCAAGGGATCCACCTGGCTCTGCCCACCAAATGCTGGCATACACCACCACAACAACAAAATATTTATTTTTAAGGTTATACTATAGAATGCTAGGAGAAAAAAAATGACTGTCTAACCACTCCTGCCCATTGGCAAAGGATGTTAAGGATCTGCTTGCCAGTCATGTCACAGCTTGGGCTGGACCAGTCCTGGCCATCCGAGGGCACTGAGGAGGTCATCAGTGCAGGGAGCTCGGTGTGGGGGGGACTCTCACCATTTCATGGCAGGCCCGGCTCTTGATGGCCATGGCTCCATACTTGCTATAGCACGTCTCTCCGCTGTTCCCTGCCAATACTGCCATGTCCGTGCAAGTGACACACAGAAGACCTGTGGAGAGGGGCAGGGCAGTGATGACCTCCAAACACCCCGACCCCACACCTGCCTGGGCATTCTAGATGCTATGGGCGAGCCTCACCTCCATCATTCACGGCTTGCACTGCTGCATCCAGGAAGGGGGCAGGACTGCCGTAGGGGTCCAGGTCAATGACATCAAAACGCTCAGACACCTTTTGGTGTTGGTACATCAGCATCCTAGATGTGAGGGGTTCAGGTTCTCAGCCTCTTAAACCAAGCCCCTGCCCTGTCCCCTATGGCAAACTGACTTTGGCCTTGAATTTCAGGCCAGCTTAGCCATTTGGGGTTTTCTGTATCCTTTTTTGCCATAGGGATGGAACCCAGAGTTTCATGCATGCTAGTCAAGTGTTTTGACACTGAGCTAAACTCCAACCCCTTTAGTTATTTGCAGTTTGTTTGTTCAATTCTGTTTTATTTGAGAAGGTCTCACTATGTAGTTCTGGCCGTCCATGAACTCACTCTGTAGACCAGGCTGGCCTTGAACGCACAGAGATCGGCCTGGTCACTGCCTCCCAAGTGCTGGGATTAAAGGCATTCACCACTATGTCTGGCTTCCTTTTGCCATTTGTTAACCAAAAGATTTTTCTGCTTTACATAGGTCTCAATCTCCCCACCTATAACTCTGACGAATAACAGCCAATATGAAGGACCGTCCCTAGGCTCTTGTAGCTATAAAGACACTGCACTGTAGGGGCTGGTGATGTGGCTCAGTGAGTAAGACAGAAAGCTGCTGTTACAGAAGACTTAAGTTGGTTCTCAGCACCATGCAGAGATGACTCAGCACGACTACCCTGGACACCCTGTTCTGACCTCTTCAGTACCTATGCTCACAAATCCATGTGTCTCTCTCTCTCCCTGACCTCTTCAGTATCTACACTCACAAATCTCTCTCTGTCTCTGTCTGTCTGTCTGTCTCTCTCTCTCACACACACACACACACAATCACAAACGTAGCTGGCTCAGTGGACAAACACACCTATCAGCAGTTGGACAAACTGTGGAAGGGAACTACTTGCCTGCTGTAATACACACACGACCACACAGACACTAAGTAAAAGATAAACAAATAAATAAGGGAAGCAAGAAAATGGGTCTGGGGGGCTGGAGAGATGGCTCAGTGGTTAAGAGCACCGTCTGCTCTTCTAGAGGTCCTGAGTTCAATTCCCAGCAACCATATGGTGGCTCACAACCATCTGTAATGAGATCTGGTGCCCTCTTCTGGCGTGTGGACATACATGCAGTCAGGATGCTGTATACATAACAAACAAACAAACAAATAAATAAATAAATAGAAAACGGGTCTGTGCCAGGCCTGGTAGTGCAGACCTAGCTTATTGTGAGGCTGAGGCAAGAAAATTCTAAGTTCAAGGCCAGCCCAGGAAACTGAGATCATGCCCAATGCAAACCAACAGCAGCAAAAATGCTACTGAGCAGAACCGGTTTTGATGACACATACGCCTGTAGACTCCAGGGAGCTGGAAAAACCCTGAGCTGAAAGCCAAATCAATCAACAGCAGTTAGCATCTCTTAACTGGTGACATCTAAAAAAAATGATTTGTTTAGTATACACAGGTGTTTTATCTGCACAATGCCTGTGCATCATGTACATATCTGGTGTCTTTGGAGGACAGAGAAGGGAGTTAGATCTCTGGGGGCTGCCTTGATGTTGCTGGGAACAGAACTCAGGTCCTCTGGGTAAGCAAGCAATGAATTCTCTCTCCAGTTCTACCCATTGATATAACAATCTTCATGTATCTTAGTACAATGTTCTCATGACAAAAATAATTACCAAGCCCAGCAGGGTGATAACACACCTGTACCATTAGGGTAATCTACAGACACCAGTTCCTCAACTGAACCCAAGGCTAATGTGCTGGCAAGCCCCATATCACACAGCTGGAATCCCTGCAGCTGTAAAGCTGAGGTTAGGGACTGTCATGAGCTTGAGACTTCCTCTGCTATACAGTTAAGGCCCTGCCTAAAAAAAAAGGGGGGGGGGGAGGCAGGGATGGGGAGCTGGCTCAGAAGAGCACTTCCTGCTTTTCCAGAGAACACAAGTTTAGTCCACAGCACACAAGTTGGCTCGCTTATACCTGCCTAACTTGTTCCAAGGGATCAGACACCCTCTTCTGGCCTCTGTGGGTACCTGCACAAAGGTGCATACATTTACACAGACACATATATAAATAAAAATTTTTTAAAGTGAATTGAGGGGGTATAGAGAGATGACTTAGCCACCAAAACTGACAACCTGACTCCCTAGGGCACACATGGTAGGAAGAGAACTAACCTGAGCTGTGGCAAGTGTACCCTCCATACGTAAATGCATGTGCCAGGCAGTGGTGGCACACACCTTTAATCCCAGCTCTCAGGAGGCAGAAGCAGGTGGATCTCTGAGTTCAAAGTCAGCCTGGTCTACAAGAGCTAGTTCCAGGACACACTCCAAAGCTACAGAGAAACCCTGCCTAAAATAAATAAATAAATAAATAAAAACAAATAAACAAATACATGTAAGAGACTGATTTTTTAAAACAAGGCACTCAAATCTCAAATCATATGATTATTCAAACACACAGCATTATAGTCACAACAAATTTTTCAAAAGCCGGGTGTGCACCTTTAATCTCAGCCCTTGAGGCAGGCAAATCTGTCAGTTCTAGGCTATCCTGGTCTACATAGCAGGAGAAACGGCTTTTAAAGGACCCTCGCTCCTTGTGCAAGAAACCACATTCAGTGCCCAGAACCCACAAGGTGGCTGGCAACGACCCACGACTCCAGTTCCAGGAGATCCAAAGCCCTCCTCAGACATTCATTTGGTGTACATGCATACGTACGGGCAAAATCAGATACATAAAATATTTAAAATTTAAAAACAAGACAAAGGGCAGGCATTTGGCGACAGAGTGGAAGCAGGCTCCAGAAAGAGCCTGAGGCAAGACAGACTGGCAGTGTAATACATGCTTAACATGTCAGAAAAGAAAGTGATTCCTGGTATAAATTTATAATCTCAACTACTTGGAAAACTGAAGAAAACCATGAGTTCAAATTGGTGGGACCATGTGTCAAAACAAATCCCTGTAGTGAGTCCCAGTTCTCATCATTAAACAGCACCTTTGTACAGAGTCTGGACAGTACACTTCTATTATTTAAGAATCCTGCTAGGGGCCGTGTGCTAACTCATACCTTTAACCCCAGCACTGGGAAGACAGGGGCAACTGGATTTCTATGACTTCCAGGCCATAAAGGACTACAAAGTGAGACCATTAAAACAAACAAACAAAAAAAAAAAACCAAAAATCTTGCAATCAAGCCTGTAATCCTAGCACAAAGGTGGAGGCAGGCGATGGATAGTTCATGGTCACAACTACACAGTACAGTTATTAAGAGACCAGCATGAGCTACACAAGACAGCATCTCACCGAGAGAGGCTTTGCGTGCTGGGATGTAGTTCCATTGGTAGAGTGCTTACCTGGCTTGGGGCTCCATCTGATCCCCATTACTGAATAAACCAGGTGCGGTACCGTGCACCTGTAATCCTAGCACGCAGTAAAGAAAGACTCAAGTATCAGAAATTCACCGTCAGAGCTAGGTACGGTGGTAGCAATCCCAGCACTTGGGAGGCAGATCTCAGAGTTTCAGGCCAGTCAGGGCTACATAAGGTCAGGGCCACCTAGGATAGGACTTTTATCCCCAGACCCACACGTGGAAAGATATGACTGCTGTAAACTGCATGTACACACACATACAAACACACAAACCAAACAAAGGTAATTTAAAAATTTAAAACAAGATAAAACAAAACAAAAAAATAGCAAGGTGGTAGTGATGCATGCCTTTAGTCCCAGCACTGGAGAAGCAGAATCGGGAGGATCTCTGTGAGTTCGAGGCCAGCCTGGTCTACAGAAGTGAGTTCCAGGACAGGCACCAAAGCTACATAGAGAAACCCTGTCTTGAAAAACAAACGAATAAAATAAATATAAAATAAACATGGCCTGAGAGCTGGCTCCCTGGTTGAGAGCACCTGTTGATTTTGCAGGACCTGAGCGCATTTCCCAGAACCCAGTGGCTCACAACTTAATTCCCTTTCCAGGGCGTCTGGAATCTTCTTCTGACCTTAGAGCACCAGGCACACATGTGCAGGCTAAACACTCATGCACATAAAATAAGTAGACGTTTTTTAAATTCTAAGATATTCAAGGTCATCTTCTACAAAGCTAGTTCTGGACTATGTATTTCAGCACATGACAGGCTCAGAGGACGACTCTCCAGATGGCTGGGTGGGTACAAGCACTTCCAACACAAGCCTGGGGACCTACTGGTACTTTCTCAAACCAGAGAAATAAAATAAAAATTAGAAAAATAGCATTGTATAACTCCTGTAAAATTACTATTCTTTTAGAAATGAGGGAATTAGAGTTCGAAGAGGCTAACCCAACCAGGTTGTCCCCAGTTAGCCTCATTCCAGGTGTAAGTTGCAGGCTCGAAGGCAGGCCTGACTAGAACCTACTGGAAGCTATTGCTTAGCATGCACAAAGTCCTGGGTTCCATTTCTAGTACCACCCCGCAATGACGACAACAACAACAATCAGTCAACCTACCGGGCATCTGCCTGGTTGGGCTGGACAAGATGTGCCACACCGTTGAGGTGCACGTTTCGGTTCATGAGCTCTACAGCCCGGGCAGAGGCATCATTGGCAACGACAGACCGAAGGCCAGGAACCTCTAGGGCAAACCGGATGGAGCGCAGACCGGAGGCTGCCAGGCCTTCCAGCACTCGTAGACCTTCCTGTTAGAAGTGAGCGAAGACGTGCCTTGCTTCTTTTTTAGTTTTCACTTACTACTGAGTCAGTTCTCTCCTTCCACCATGGATTCTGGGGATCAAACTCAGGTCTTAAGGCTTTCTTGGCATGTACTTTTCCCTGGCTGACACTCAGGTCTCCATCTTTCTTCTGGGCTCCCGTGGATCTCCCACAAGCACCCTCTATAGCTCCGTGGCTCTTTCCTGTCACCCAGACCCCCGAGCTGCCCCTGCATACTCAGGCCCTACCTCACAGATCTCACCGACGGCAGCTGTCCGAGGTGGCTCTCCTGAGGCCAGGGTTTCCTTCTCTTCCTGTTCAGCCTTTTCCTCCTCTTGCTCGGACAAGTTCACAGACACTTTCTGCAAGTCCTTCTCTCCTGGCACCTTGACTGCAGTCACCCAGGCATAAACCAGACACTACCATCAACGCTCCTCTTAAGAAATTTCACCCTAACTTTCAAATCATCAAAATCCTGACGACATGGCAGAAAAGTCTTTCCCCAAGCCCTGGGAGAAAGGCAGGAGTAGAGAACCCAGAGCATTCAGGAGCCCAAAGAGAGAGCGGAAAGAGTGGGAAGTGAGCTTTATGTGACATGCCCCCACCCCCAGGCCCGAACCTCCACTTACTCTGGATTCCCTTGGCCCCAAGATGAATTCGAGCAAACTCAGTGATCACAGCACATCTGGAAGAGTGGATGGCAGGGGAGGGTCAGCTTGCAAACCCCCCCTATGCCAGGGTGTTAGCTGTGGCCCAGGTCTGAAATCCTCCCTTTAAAGTTCTTGAAAGGTGTTTGTCCCTCCCTAATGCAAAATGTCCTCCCTGTTGCACCAAACTCTAGATAAAGAGGAGTCCCACCTCAAAGGCTAAGATGTTAACTGTTGTCGCTTTAGATCGTTAAACCCAGAAAACCTGATAGTGACCTTTTCAAGGTTGGCTCAGCCCTCAATTCAAAGCATATAAATTGATGTGAAATTGGACTTGCAGAAAAGTAACAAGGCTGTGTGAATACAACTACAGGAACCAGCTCTGCGAAGTCGAGTCCACCACCGAGTTGTAAAGAAAAGGAAAATGGGGAGTCACACACCTTGAACACCAGAGAACACTAAAAGGCATATATAACTTGTCCCTTGCAATAAAACCCCCGGTGCATGCCTTCATCTTTCAAGATGCTGGCCTTGGATTAAAATTGACTTACTCCTTCCTACCAACTCTTCCCTCCCGAATATTGGCCTTCGAGTAGCTCGCGTCCCGCAGTGATACTCCACAATATTGTCTACCTCATTGACCCATTCCCCTTGGCCAAGCTGACCCCTGACTCTTGCTCACGTCAGATCCCGGTTGAACTCCTGCACTGGGTTGTAGAAAACCTCGTTGGCGTTGGGGAAGACGATCTTGGCGGCGCCCTCGGTGATAGTCGCCTCCGGGGCCGCGGGTGGGCGCTCTTCGCAAGGCTGTGTGCCGTTCTCCATCGTAGGCGGAGAGGGTGGCCCCTGGGCCTTCTGTTCCATGAACTGAGCTCTACAGAGGATGCGGGCCGGATGGAGAGGGCGGCTTAACCACAGGATCGCCCTCGCGTGGGACATCCACAGGCGCCTCAACCCTCCTACCGGTTCCAAGGGAAGGGAAAGGGCACAGGGAGGTCAGACTGCTGCATTTCGGGGCGGGGGTGGCCTACACATCTATAAAGTAGGACCTAAAACCCAGTGGCCTCGATAAGGCCTGCGTTTCCAAAGGCACTGGACCCAGAAGAGCCTGAAGCCAGCGACGCAGACCCATCCCCACCCACCCATCCACCCAAACACACACACCCGGGCCGCTTCACCTCTCTGCTCACAAGACCCAACAAGTCGCGGTGCACGCTTCCCTCATTAGAACCTGGGAGCGGCCATGTTGGCAAAGAGGGCGGGCCGATCACATGACAATAATTGGCCAATTAGCTACACTACTTACGGTGGGCGACCAGGACCAATATTCTTCCAGGAAAGGACTGCGCGGAATAGACTACTTGGATGATTTTCAATAATGCAATTCTTCTACAAGGGAATTTCATTGCCGTTTAGTTTCGGACAAAAAAACTGAGGAAGTTGGCATTTTAAGTTGTCTCCTGTGTACAACTTGCAGGTTAACTCGGGCTCTGGAATAGGATTCGCTGGCTTTGAATCTGTTTTACCACACACTCTTAGGCAAGTTACTTAAAATGTAAGGCTCTCCTTTCCCTTACCTATAAGTAAGAATCTTGCTTCCAAAAAAGGGCAAAGATTAAATAATCGAATGTCTGGGAAGTGTGCGGAGGAGCCACGTAGACAGTAAGTCCTCTGAATACGAAGGCAGGAAAGTGTGGCCATCCGTGGTGTGAGTTGTCTTAGCTCGCCTTGCAAGTTCTCTCTCAATGGAATGTAGAAGGTACTCTCAGTCCAGGTTGTTCTGGAACTCACTATGTAGCTCAGGGCGGCACTGAACCTCGTTGGGAGTTTCCTGCCTCAGTCTCCCAGATGCTGATATTATAGACATTAATTACCAGGGCTGGCAGTACTTGTTTTGTTTTAGCTTTATTTTATTTTTACGTCTGTGTATGTGCGCTTGTGTGCAAGTCCCCAAAGAGCAGAGGTGATGGCCCCTGTAGTTAACGGCAACAGTGTGAGCCACCTGACATGGGTGCTGGGAACTTAACTCTATATATGGCAAGAGCCGTACACACTCTCACTCGCCGAGTATTCTCTCCAGTCCAGTGCTTTCTCCATCTGAAAAGTTGCCAGACTGCTTTAACGTTATAAAACACAATTATCCAAGTTAGTGCAAAATGCTAACAGAACTCCGCATCGCGTAAGGACCCTAAATCTTAGGTTTATTGACCTCTTGAGCCTCCGTTTAAAAGTTGTGGCATTCAATCACTTTCCACTGTGTGATCTTGAGCGAGTTTCCTCCGTTCCATGAAACCTCATTTCCACAAAGAGCTTAAAACTGTGTCTGGAACAACAGTCGTTAGTCACTGTTTTCATGTTACAGCAAACAGGGCAAACCGTCCCATAATCGCCCAACTAACTAGGAGTCCACAGAAGAGAGCGCCTGGATGAAGCCGGCGAGAACTAAAGCGCTCGGAGCGCAGCTAAGCTTGCCTAAGGGGCGGGGCCGAGGCCGTTTCCTCCCTGCCGGCTGCGCCGTGCGCTTCCTCGGCGCTCGGCTGGGGCGGCCTGGCCCACAATGAATGGCCGCCGCGGCTACCACTGCTGCTGAGGCGGAGGCCGCGGAGGCCGCAGAGGCGGAGGCCGAGGCCGAGGCGCAGGGGGGCGCGCCCCGGGCCCAGGCCCGGCCCCAGCTGCCGCTGCGGAGCCCGCCGGGAGGCCCCGGAGCGCGGCCACAGCGCAGGTGAGATGGCCCGCCCCAGGCCCAATTCCGGCCTCCTCCCGCCGGGGCGGCCCGAGGACATCCGAGGTTCCGGCCGATGGCCGAGAGGGGAGGCCCCGGGGCGCCCGGCTGGGAGCGAGAACCCGAATCCGCGATGCTGACAGCGGCGGGAGGGAGAGGTTGAGGTGGCCGGGCCTCAGCTGGCGGCCTACGGCGTCCAGCCTCGAGCCAGGCCCGCGGGGCTTAAGGGCGGCCGGAGGGAGGCGCCGGTCGAGGGCTCCTGGAAGTCGCCGGGCCGGAGGGGGTAATCGTGAGGAGGCGGCGGGCGAGGCCGGAGGGGGAGGGGAGGCCTCAGGCTGGCCAGGGCGGTGGGGGGGGGAGGGGGAAGGCTGGGCGGCCCGAGGGAAAGGGCCTGGAGGGGACCGGGAGAGCCGGAGCCTACAGGTAGGGAGCACAGGGGAGGGGGTGGGCGGGTCAGGTTACAGGCCTGGAGGGGCCGCAAGGAAAAGCCCGGGAAGTCGGACTTGGTGGGTGTGGGCGGAGCCTGCTCGAGTGGGGGCGGACTGGAGCTCCCAGGGATGTTAGCAGGGGGTCACGCGAGGTCAGGGCTCCGAGATGTGGGGGTAAGCGACATCCGGGGGCGCCAGGTAAGGCTGGGAACTACGACTGAGTGTTGGGAGTTTGGAGGAGGCGCAGGACCGGTGGGCTGGGCCGGTGGAAAGTGGGGGCAGGTGAGGGAAAACTAGTGTGACCTAAGGGATCTGCGCCCCCCTCCCCAAGTGTTTGCTCAGGGTCAGAACCAGGGGGTTTCCTCTTTCCCACGCCTCTTCTCTAGAGCCTCGGCCAACTTCTCGCAGGGACCGGCCAGCGGGTGGGTGGGAGTTTGCGTGGGCTGCTCCGGATACCTAGCTCCAACATCGTTTCTTCCGTCGGGATGGCCACTCTTCACCCCCACCCTCACCCCACCCACCCTGTAAGGAGGCAGCCAGCCCAGCAGTCTTTACCTGGGTCCTGTATTCGTTCTCCACCTTCTGGCGCCGGAACCTGGGGGCTCAAGTCTAGGAGCCGAGACCTCACAATCCTGTCTATGCTCCCTAGCTTTCCAGGCCCAACCTGCTGCTTGGGCCTTAATTCTATGTCCCCCTCGGAGGTAAAATACTGGAATGATGCGTGCCCGAAGCTCTGTTGTATCTTGGAGACGAAACAGGCACTTACACATGCTGACTTTTGCCTTGGGGGCTCCAGATCTCTGGAGCCATCCTCCCTCCGTGGTGCTCCTTCTAGGCCAGGTAGTTGCTAAGCAGGCCAGCGAATAAGCTCATTGATTGCTCGCCACCGCTGGGTCTTAGGCTTTCTCTTCTCAGAGAAAGAAGCTGAGGTTCGGGGCGGGGCTTGTCCCTGGTCATATGACTAGACTGTGGCCTATGCCTAGTAAATCGAGTTGGCCCTCCTGGGGCACCGGCAGAGAAATTCCTGCTGTTCTGATTCCCTGTTGATGGGCTCTTCTTGGACCTGGCCTTTTCTGGGCTCCCTGGAGTGGCTTAATCAATCCCCTTGCAGATGGGTCAGGTTTCCCTGGAGTTGAAGGGGCTGTCAACTGAGGCCTGCTCCTCTTTCTCTTCCGTTCAGCCTCTGAGAGCCAGGGGCACAGCTATTGGAGATGGTTATAAAGTGGGGCTTAGTGATTCAGGAGTGGGATTTTGTTTGGCTTGCCTAGACTTTGTTCTCTTTGCTTTGGTTTCTTATCAGACTGCTCCAGCTCTGGACTAATTACAAGGTGAACAGTGTATTTATGGGCAGGTGTGTGTGTGTGTGTTAGGCTTTTAGTATTTTTGTATTTCAGTATTTTTGTTTGGGGGAACAGTCTCAGTGTTACTGTAGCTCAGGCTGACCTTGAACTTAGTGTGTGATCAGGCTAGCCTTGAACTATGGCCCTTATGCCTCAACATCCCAATGCTGAGATTATATAGGCATGAGCCACCACACACAGGATGTCCTGGTGACTGATTGGACACCAGAGGCAGAAACCACAAACTTCTGTGTGACTGGTACCAGCCAGTTCTGGGTTTAGTGATGACTTTTCTCCCTGTCCCCTTATCTCCTTGGAGTTTCCAGACCAGCACCACCAGCAGCTGCCCCTGCCCTAGTCTCTTGGTTCTGTTGGGGCTGGGGGCTGGGCCAGCAGCGGATGGGGCTGGCATTGCTCTCTCCATTCTGCTGCTGCAGCTCTCCTTAAAGCCCTGTCTCCAATAGAACCCCTCCTGCCCCACCAGCTGTCACTGTTAGTTGGACCAGTATCCCTCAGAACCTTCATAATGGTGTTCCAACCACCGGTTCTTGCTGCAGTCTTGCACTTTGACTGTTGAAGGACAAAGAACTATTTCCTGCCTGGTTGGACCAAGAGAATCTGCATGGGCATAGACTGGCTGTTCCCAGGCCTCAGCTGGGTGGGGTATTGAGGACAGATGGTGTCAACTAGTCACAGCTGGAATGCAGAACTGGTAGGAGTTTGTTGGCCCTGCAGTATGGAGGCAGAAATGATGAGATGGCACCTCCACCTGAAGCTAGAAGAGAAGATGCACTGGTCATACCTGCTTCTCAGTGAGAACCCGAGACAAGCACAAGCAGACAGGCTGAAGTGGACAGCTGGATTTCAGTGCTCTCTGCCCATTCCCTTGCTGGGACTGAAGGAACTGCTCTGAGTAACACATTCAGTAGAAGTTGGCTCTGGCGAATCCTATTCAGATTGTGATGACCATACTTAGACCAAGGAAATGATCCCCCAGAGTACGGAGAAAACTAGCTGCTCTGTTCAAGAAGGCGAGGAGATGTTCAGTAGTGTGGAGGCAAAGATACTTCCATTGGGTAGTCAAAGAAGAACCATGATCTGAATTAGAAGGAAGTTTGGTTGGGGGACGGGTATTCTGGATGAGGACAACACATTCAAAGCTTTTATTGAGTGTGCGCCAGGCTCCTGCTGAGTTACCAAAATGTTTTGTCTTTGTGAGGGTAGAGTGAGGGACTACCCCTGGTGTGGGGCAGAGATCCTGGCCGCAGGAAAGAAGAACCCGGGAGGATCTCATGGGGCTCCCTAGCACCCCCAAGCAAAGTTCATATCTCTTGATTTATATCCAGAGTGCCCCCCACCACCTTGGTTTTTCAAAACAGGGCTTCTCTGTGTAGCTCTGGCTGTCCTGGAATTCACTCTGTAGACCAGATTGGCCTTAAACTCGTAGAGATACCTCTGCTTCCCAAATGTTGGGATTAAAGGCATGAGCTACCACAGCCCAGCCATTCAGAGTGTCTTAAAATCTGTTCTCCACCACCTACCTCAGGTTCATGAACTGGGTTTTCTGGAAAACAGTCTGTACTTGGGCTGTACAGGGCCCATTAGAAGGCTGGCAAGTGAGCTCTGACCCAGGGGTTCAT